GTTCCCCGTTCCAGTGGCCCCCCCTCCCCACCCTGGGGGTCAGCACTGCTCTGACTCCCCCCAGCATCGGTCAGCGTAGCCTGTTCTAGAACTTTGTGTAGCTGGATCAAAAGGATGTTTTTGTACCTGGCTCCTTCGGCTCAACGTGGTATCTGCTGGATGCACCCACGTTGCTGCTGGAAGCAGTGGTGGACCCTGCCCGACAGTGAGGAGGGCTGTTGTGGCTGGGGGACTTCGGTGAGCCCAGGCCAGGGCTAGGGACACCGGTCCAAGGACCTCAACTCCCAGCACATGAGTTCCCCAAAATGCCGGCCTTTGATCCCATTCTGTGAACTGACCCATCCTCACTTTGCTTTTTTAGTGTTTGAAAACCTTGTGTTTTCTGCAGAGAAATACCTGAAGCAAGAACCTGGGGCTCAGCCCTACAACGTCAGCGAGGACTCTGTTCCGGAACACAAGATCGCCCTGCTGAAGGCCTGACTGGGCCTCCGACGGGCGCGGGCAGAGGGCCTCACGGAAGGTTCTTGTCACTGTGATGCCGGATGCCGCCTTACAGATGGACCTGAGACACTTGAGCAGGTGACCCGGAGGAGGGGAAGGGAACTGGGGATCCACAGGTGGGATTCCTCCCTTCCCCTGGGGTGACTGATAAAGGACCTCCCTTCTGCTGTTCCCTGTGTGTGAACGCGTTTTTGAAGAGTGGTTTGGAGAATGGCAGATCACGTGAGAAAGGGAAGGGCAGGGATTTCAGCCTGGTCTGGGAGAGGAGCCCTCTCGCCCCAGCGCCCTCCGGATTCCGGGGGAAGGTGGGGTAAGCGGGCACCTCGCAGCTGGGTGCCCTTCCTGATGGCGGCGGCTGTGCTGTTGCTGGGAGGAAAACCGAGGTTTGCCAAACGATTTGAAGTATTAAAAATAACTTTGCTGTTTGTGTTTTCTAAAATTTAAAAAAAGTGATAGCTTTGGTGTTTTTGTAAAATTCATAAATGCTTATTGTAAAACCTACAGGACACCATCCCCCCTCCCCCTTCCACTCCGGCGATAGATCCAGACCCCCCCCAGGACACGCACACGTGTGTACGTGAGCACATGGGTGTGTGTTTGCAGTCGTGTAAGTGGGACCATTCCATCCATGGTGCTCTGTGACGCACATTTTCACGCGGGCATTGCTGTGAATTATCGTTGTGCTAATAAACAGAGAATATGTGGTTATCAGTGGCCACGTGGTGTTTTATTCTCTCTGTGCTTCGCAGTTTACTTAGCGAGCCCACCCCACGCGGACTTGCCTGTTTTAAGTTTCATTTCGTCGTCATCAGGGGTAAGTCCCAGCCGAGGAAGTCTGGGCTCCTGGACTTCCTTTGAGGAAGAACTTGCTGTGCAGACAGTCTTAGAGCAGGGCCCCCTGCTGGCTCCTGGGCAGACCTGGCCGGGGTCTGGGCCCGCCCTCGAGACAGCCCAAGTCTTTTCAGATTTCTTGTCCTCCGTCTTCTGGGGTTTCTCCTTCCAGGCTCCTGACCAGCCACTGAAGCCGGTCACCCCCGGCCCCCTTATCTGCCTTTCCTTATTTAGGGCAGCGTGTCCCAAAGTTCTGCCCACCAGGCCACCCCTCCCCAGAGCTATGATGGAGGCGCGGTCCCTTTTTGGCCTGCGCCCGTGTGCTGAGCTTACCCATTCTGGAACCCGGAGGTGGTCCCGTTCACGGGGCTGGGCAGATGGTACGCTCGGGCAGGACCAGTGTTATGGAGAACCTATCACCATCTGTGACTCGGCAGCTCCCTTCTCGGAAGCCACACCAGCAAAACACGAGCCTGTCTCCTGGGAAGCAGGCTCAAGGGTGTTTACCGCTACCTCGTTAGCGATCTTCGTAAAGGACAGCAACTCAAGTGTCTCTACTTGAGAGAGTCTTGACCATGGAACCCACAGACTGGATTGTCACGTGGCAGCTAAAGAAACGAGACAGTATAGACACTAACATATTTTTGAGTTAAAAAAGCAGGTTGCAGCATGTTACCCACCTTAAGATACCATTTGTGTGGACACACCCACTAAACGATTCTATGGTGCATGTGTGAAGGTTTTTAAAAGTTCTCGAAGGATAAACATCAAATTCGTAACTGTGATTAATTACGTCTTGGGTTGGTAGGAACCATATCCGTTTGGGTTTAAATTTTCAAAGAACAATGCATGGATATATGCTTTAATTATAATAAAAAAAATCAATTTTAAAAAGGAAAAGAGAGGTATGGAGAACTGCCTGGAAAGAATTTGGAATTTGACGTCAGAAGATGCAGGGCTGGGTTCCAGCATTCTCTCCCGTCAGCCGGACAAGCCCCCTGAGCCTTGGTTTAGAAACCGGGCACCCATGTGACTGCTGACGACACAGTCAAGCCCTTCCTCACCACCGGCTGGCGTGGTGCTTACAGCTGACCGATGGGGCACTGATGTCACCGACACCATCAAGTTCCCCGCCTCCCCTGTAGTGAGTGTGGCTGTGTGACTGAGATCCAGTCAGTGGCGTCTGTTGTGGGTTGAATTTTGTCCTCCCCTCTGCCAAAATTCACGTCTTGAGTTCTAATCTTAAGGTCAGAACAGGACCTTATTTGGAAATAGGGTCATTGCCGGTGTAATTACTTAAGGTGAGTTCACATTTGCAGTAGGAGGAGGCCTAATGCAACGTGGCTGTGTCCTTATAAAAAGGGGAGGTTTGGTACAGACACGCGTAACAGGGAGACCACCATGTGAACATAGGGCGGAGATGGGGGGATGCTTCTGCAAGCCAAGGAGCGCCAGCCATCACCAGCAAACCACCAGAAGCCAGCAGGCAGGCCTGGAGCAGGTTTCCCATCACAGCCTCGGAAGGAACCTGCCGACACCTATTGATCTCAGACTTCAGTCCTCCAGAACCGTGAGGCAGCAGGTCTCTGCTGTTTAAGCTGCCCGGTCTGGGGCACTTGGCTGCAGCAGCCCTGGCAGATTGCGTGGGGAGGGTGTGTGCCGCTTCCCAGCTGGCCAACAGAGCTTTCCATGCTCCCTCCTCTGAGTACCTGCCCCATTTCTGGCCGGCTGGCATGGAGATGATCTTCTGGGGGTTCTTGGGAGCCACAGGTTGTGAGTGGCAGAGTTACGGTCAGCCGGAGTGGAGGACGGCACCTGCCGGCACCGGCCAGCACTGTTACCTGGGCCAGTGGCAAGCTCTGAGTATCCACTTCTACGGCAGCTGTGGAGCCCTGACTACACAGATGACGGCCATAGAGATAGTGCTGTCCGACAGAAACACAGCGTGAGCCCCTAGTGGAAGCCACGTGGTCACTTTAACATTTCAAGGAGCAGTATTAAAAAAGTAAAAAGAAACCGGTGAAATTAACGTACGTATGTATGTAACTGATTAAATCCAAAATAAATATTTTCAGAGAGAGGGAAATAGCTTAGCGGTAAAATGCGTGCTTAGCACGCACGAGGTCCTGGGTTCAATCCCTAATTCCTCCATTAAAAATAAATATTTAAAAGAATATTTTCAATAGGTGACATGTATAAAACTTATCAATGAAATATGTAACATTATTTTTGTCATGCTAAATCCCGGTGTGAATTATACACGCACAGCACATCTCAACCTGGACCAGCCACATGTGGAGTCTTCAATGCCACCTGTGTCTCGGGGCTGCTGTGTCTGATGATGTGGGTTTAGAATGTACAAACCTAAAATGGTTGGGAAGGTACATGTTGTCTGGGGGCTGGGCGTGTGTTTTTCTCCACTGGAACTCGAGATAACTGCAAGAAATTCTGAAAGTCACGGCTGAGGAGGCAGCATGGTGTGGCGAGCTTGGAAGGAGCTGAACCTGAGTCCAGGTTTTTCTGATTTCTCAACGCGTGCCAGGCATGCACTCTTCCACTGAGCTGTATACCTTGCCTCCCGATCTCCTTCTTGGAAGCCTCATCCAGATACTTCTGGTGATAGGCCACCAAGGCTTTGGGATGGACCACATGACCACCACCTTCACTAGCACTTGGATGTCCACACCAGCAAATCACCCCTTGCCCAGAAGCCAAACGGATTCCTGTAGTTTGTATCACAGCGTGCACAGTTCAATCATCCCCAGGGCTCGCCCATCACCTTGATGAGGCCGTCACGTCACGCGAAGAGCACCGCAGCTGTAGGCACCTTCCTGAGTCCGCAGACCTGCACCGACCATGGAGGGTCCTTGGACGCCAGGGCTGCCAGTCTGGACGAAAGCTCCTCAGCGCACACGGCTGCAACCAGAAAAGGAAGAGTTTATATTCTTGACCCTTTGTGGCTGTGACCGCGACCTCATCTGGAAATAGGGTCTTTGCAGACATAATTAGGTAAGTTCAGATGATGTCATACTGGACTTGGGTGGTGTCCTCATAAGAACAGGAGACAGAGACATGCATGGTGGGAGGCGCCGTCTTGGGAGCCATGAAGTTGTTCCCTTCCGTTCTTCTCAATTCTGCCCCGCCTGCCTCCCTAATTGAGAAAGGAGCCATAGTCCTTCCTTACGGGCTGTTGTTCTGTCCGCAGTCCAAGGTGGGTGAACTCACTCTGTGCTGGCACAAGACTGAATGTTTGGTCCCCACTGTTTTAACATGGGGGCCATCTGACTCGGGTCAGCTTTTATTCCACAGCTTCCAAAGAGCACAATCCTGCCAAGAACATCCAGGCCCAGAGAGCTGGCCCCCGTTGGCTGAGCCTGACCCCAACTGAGCAGAGCCCCAAAGCCTGGTTAGTGAGCGACCTAACCGTTGAGCTTCAGCCCTGCCTTTCTGTGGGGAAAGCAGAGCTGAAATGAAGGTCTGGAGGCAGGCTGTGGGGCAGATGCAGTCCACGCCGGGAACTCCAGGCCCCTCTTGCAGGCTCTGGAGTTAATGTGAGCCTTCTGCTCCGCCTGCCTGCTCACACAGGCCCTGCTTTGAGACGGCCGGCTGGATGCGCCAGTCTGCAGCCAGGAGGTGGAGCCATGCTGCCTGGCGGGGGCTCAGCTGCGTCCCTGGGCCTCACACTTCCCTCACAGGGTCCCTTGTTCTGGCCTCTCACCACAATTACCCTCCCAGCCAAGCGTGCCTCAGAGAGCATCCTTCCTGCAGATGACTCCAGGATTACCAAGATAGGCAGCAAGGAGCAAGATGGGCCAAAATGCTGTTCTGTCCGAATCCATTCTACAGACGCTGGTGGTGGCAAGGACAGGACCAGTACATGTTTAATGATCCAACACGCAGGGGACCAGGCGTGGTCTACTCCAGGCCTGCCAGGTGGGCAGTGGGCAGGGCTGCCTCCCCAGGGACTCCCTGCTGTGCTGCACAGCTGACCTGGGGACTAGCGACCAGGCAGGTGTTCTCTGGGGCCCTTTGTGAACACCGGACTGGGCCAGGAGGAGAGGATGCCCACACTCAAGTGGCCGCATCTACAGCACCGTCTTTTTAGGGAGATGGAAAGCTGGGAGATGATGCCACTGAAACCTTCCATCAAGTCCCCTCCTCCATGCACCCACCACCCCACCACCCTCCTCTGCCTAGTCCGTCTCTGTCTGCTCCGGGTTCAGCGCTGCAGCGTAAACTGCACCTACCACTCCCCTTGTATTTTGTCCTTTTCTGTCTTACTTTCCAAGTACGTTAGATCCTCTACGACGTTTATATATTATTTTATGCTAGACTATCATTTTTAAAAATTGTGTGCATGTTTCCATGCATATGTTTATTGCACTGATGCACGCCAGGGAAACGGAGGGGTTTTCTCTGTGAGTATTCACCTGGCTTTTCTCTGTTCTTTTTTTTTAATTTTTAAAATTGAAGTGTAGTCAGTTTACAATATTGTGTCAGTTTCTGGTGTACAGCATAATGTTTCAGTCATACATGTACATACACATTCCTTTTCATATTCTTTGTCTTTGATGAACTCGGTTCTTTCGGTTGCTAACCATCTTTACTGGTTTAGCTGGCATGCTGACAGGGCCACTTACAGCCAGGTTCTCAACACCTGGAGGTAGACAGTGTCAAGAACCTTTCTCTTCTTTGGAACACCTGGCAAAACAGGATGTCCACACTGACCACACCACACACTGATTTCTCCGAAAGTAGGAAGCCGAGGCCCCCTGTGGCAAGTGGGCTTCCTCTTCTGGGTGTTGAGTGTTAGAGTTCCAGTGTCACTCTGAAATCTACTCCTGGAAGCGCTTGCTACAGCCCCAGCTTCGGGCAGC